GGGTGGAGCTTAGTCACTTGTCCTCTCTGCCGCCTTCCAAATGTGTGTTCTCAAAGCAGAGCACGCAGAATGGAAAACATTTGGTTTGCAGCGTGAGGCTCTGAAAGCCACAGGCTTCCCCTCGCTCGGGTGGAAGAGTGCCTGGAGTCAGCACTTGGCAGGAAGTGCCGAGAGGACGGAGGAGGAGGACGGAGCAGGAGGACGCAGACTGGGGGCCCGGGAGCCACCGTGCAGGAGGGGCCCGGGCTTGGCCTTCTCACCAGGCAGCCCCCCGGGGACCAAGAAGGCAGTGTCCCTTCAACTTGCTGCCTCGTGTCCCCGTGTTGAGTCCTGCTGCCTTCGGATGACCCCCAGCGCCCTGTGGCTGTCCTCCCAGGCAGCAGAGCCGTCCTTGGAGCAGCCGCCAGCCCCCAGCAGGGACCCTGGCATCAAAAGTCATTCGGGAGGACAAGATCACCCCACAGATGCACACATGAAAGGCACAAGACCACGTGCACCAGGCACCCCAGGAAACGCTTCGCAGGGTCACCTCTGAGTCCTTGTTCCAGGAGACGGGGCCTGGGCCTAGGAAAGAGAGAAGCGCACCCCAGGCCTCCCCACCAGGCCCAGGTGACCCAGAGCTGTGCCCCCTGCCACAGTCCCCTTGCTGACAGCTGTGGTTCCTGCCATGTGTGCCAGGCACCCGAGGCCTCGAGGAGTTGCCCAGGGCTGCAGGCAGCACAGAGGGCTGCAGGCGGCACAGAGGGCTGCAGGCGGCACAGAGGGCTGCCCGTGCCCCTGAGGCCCCTCGCCTGCCTCCCTGCTGGCAGCCTCAGGGCTGTGAAAGACACATTGGATTCCCCAGGGAAAGTTTTCTCTTCCTCCCCACCCCCGCCCTCCAGGAAGACAGCAGCCGTCTGTGTTTATTTACTTTGCCCACAGAGGGGGACTGGCTGCGAGGGGGTGGCAGCTGTGCCATGGGCCCGGGATGTGTGTGGGGGGGGCATCGTCTCCATCTGGCAGGGATGTGACAGTGCCCTTCATCACTTGGCTGGGAGAGCTGCTCCTCTGAGCTCTGGGCCTGGGGTGGACCCGGGGGTAGATGCTGCCCTCCCTCCTGGGGGTGATCCTCGGCTGCCCGGCACCTCGCTGCCCAGGGGGACTTGGGATGGCAGCACGCAGGGTGCCTGCTCGACGTGGTGCAGTTGAGGGCAGCGAGGCGGAAGACAGCTCCTCGGCTTCCTGCGCTGCCTCTGAGCCTGGAACACTCCACGCAGGCCGCTGACCCCAGGGGACAGGAGAAGAGCAATGAGGCTGTCAGCTGGCTCCTTGCTGCAGGTCCTTTCAAGCCCTAGCCGTGCTCTCCTGGCGACCTCGGCCACACCCATCATCACAGTGCAGGGGGATCTGGCTGAGGGTTAAACGGCGCCATGAGAGCGGCCCCAGGCCAGTGCCCGGCCCAACTGAATGCTGGACATTTGTGCACTCCAGCCTGTGACCTGCCTGGTCCTGCAGCGACCGACCTGATGACAGAAGCATGCAGCGCCTTGGACACACGCATTCGGGAACCCTTGATGGCCGTGAGCGGCCGCCATCATCTGGAATAGCATGGGGGAGGGCACCCCGGGTCTGACGAGGAAGTCAGGAGGTGAGCGGGGCCCACTCTGTGTGCCCACCCTGCTCCTAGGAGTGGCACCAGGGCATTGCCCCCCAGCCCCTGACCTGACAGGGATCCAGCCTGGTGTCCCCGTGTCCTTCCCACTGCCTCCAGACCCCTTGCTCCCATGTGAGCCCCCCTCAAGGCTGCCCCCAGACCAGAGGACTGAGACCCACATTCTGCTCGGCTGGCCCCTCCCCGTAGCACGTCACTGCGTGGTGCCCTGCTTCGAGGGCAGATGAGGGGACTGAAGTGCAGGGTGGAAGGAACCCGTCTGTCTGTGGCAGAGCCAGGCTGGCACTCTGCTGGCTGCCACCCTCTGTGGTCCCCTGGGGACAGCTGTCATTGTGTCAAACTCTTGCTCCACAGTTAAGCGGTCTGCCTGGGTCAAGCGAAGGTGGCAGCTGACAACCTGGGCACCTTCCATGGGTCTGGAGGGCAGAGCACCCCAGCTCCCCTCGCCCTGGCCCATCTCTGCTGTGTTGTTTTTGTCACTTGCCCACCTGCTGTGATTCGCCTACGTTGTCAGCTCGCAGGACAGAGTGGTGCTGAGGGGTCCCCATGTGTACACAGACCGGGCGAGTCAGGATTGGTCACTGGTAGGGAAAGTGTTCAGTGTTAACTCAGTGACCATTCCCTGCACCCCATGCCCCTTGGTGCGTGTGCCAGGGCCTCGGGTGGGTGCCCACCATGCCGAACCATAGGTTCCACTTCCTGTAACCTGTCAGGAGAACTCTCCTGCCTTTGCGCTGGTTGATTTTAGAAGAGCTTTATTTGTTTTTTGTTGGTTTGTTTTGGTACTGGGGATTGAACTCGGGTCCTTGCACTTGCGAGGCAGGCGGCGGAACTACTGAGCTACATCCCTGGCCCCAGAAAAGCTTTATTGAGATATAATTATGTACGGTACAGCTCAGTGGTTTTTAGTCTCTTCAGAGCTGTGCATCTCTAACCTCAATCAATTTTAGGCCATTTTCACCACTGAAGAAAAAACACGACACCCTTGGCTGTCACTAGTCCCCGGCCCTTGGTCTGTCACTATGATCTGCTGTTCTGAATGTCACCAAGTGGTCCCAGGCAGTAAAGGGTGGCCCTCCCTCTGTGACCACTCTGGGGGTCTGTACCTCCCCAGCCTGTGAGCTTGGTAGAAGAGCAGTGAAGGAGACCCAGCTGCACCCCAGCACTGGCTGCCACCTGCCTGGTCCCCCCCAAAACGAAGAGAAAGGGCAGTCCTTGTACACAGGTTCTGTCCCCAGGTCTCCCAGGGCTGCCTTGGGGACCCCCGGCTCCCAGCAGCCTCCTCGGCCCCTCCCAGGGCCCTGGCCCGGATGTGCCTTCCCTCCCAGCCACCAGGCACCCGTGACAGCTCCTGTCTGCCCCTCCTGGGTCCTGCAGTGCAGGGAGAGCTCTGGGCTGGCCATCCGGGCACCTGAGGACCAGGTACCTGCCCAGGGTCCCACATCTGCGTGTCCCAGGAGTGCTGGGCCGGAGCTCAGCTCCACGGCAGGTGGAGCACAGGCTCGGGCTGCCACCCCTCCTCCAGCGCCTTCCCACGCCCACCTGCACCCTGACTGTGGTTTCTTCATTCCAAGGCCCTGGCTTTTGTGGGCGCCAGCAGAGAGGGTCAGGATTGTAGACCGGGCCCCTTTGCCTGTGGTCCAGTCTGCCTCAGCCCCCCATTCTCCTGCTCCCAAGCCTGAAAACCCAGTGTCCACCCCACCAGGCCCGACTGCCCATTTGCCAGCTCCACAGTGCTTGCTCTGCCTACTGAGGGATGGACAGGAGCCACAGGTTCTCCTCAGCCACACCAACCCAGGCCTCGCCATCTGGCCTGGCACCTGCCTGGACCTGGCAGCCTTGGCCCCTTCTGGGGGAAGGGGGACAGGCATGGCCACGCCCACAGCCCGACATCGATAGAAATGTCTCCGCCCCAGCCCGACAGCCTGCATCAGACCCGATGGTGACCACAGGGATGATCTGAGTGCACCTGGAAGTGTGAACAGCCTTGATGTGGCTCATCTTGCCTGCCTGTGCCCTGCAGGGTGTGGCTCGGCTCCATGGGGCCCAGCAGCAGCCAGACCCGGCCCTGAGCCTGCAACCCCAGGGAGCCCAGGGGTCTCTCCCCCTTCACACAGCTGCTGAAGCTGAGAAAGAACTTTTAATTTTTCCTCGATGTTTCAAGTCAAATTCTATAGCCTCAAGTTTTATTTTTAAATCATCAGCTGGGTGATCAAACTGTAGCAGCAGGGGGGACTTCAGCGATGCTTCTTGGAAAAGCCAGCATTTTCCTGTGTGCCCCGAAGGCTCTTCAAACAGGACTTAGCTCCTGGGGAGTGCTGCCCTGAGTCTGTAAATACCCGCAGGTCCCATTGGCTGGGAGCTGGGGTGGGTGAGGCTGGGCAGTTTACACCTGGTGACATTTAGCCAACGATTCTGGAGGGGGCCAGGGGAGGGACTTGGCATGACTTGACATTGTGTCCTCTGCCCATGGTTCTCTTGCTGATACTCCATTTGTCTGCTAAACATGCAGCCCTAAAAATAGCTGCTGGGCCCCGGTGTCCGCCGTCATGAAGGGCACCTGGCCTGCTCCTTGGTTTTCAGGCACCTCGGAATGTCATAGTAAATGGCTTCTCGGGGACTTGGCACACCACACAGACCTGAGCCCTGGACAGGGCAGTGTCAGGTGCAGCTTTGTAGCAGGACAGATGAGGCCCCGCAGCAGTGACCACCTACCTAGAAGCCAGGCATGGTGGTGCACACCTGTAATCCCAGCACTGAGGAGGCTGAGGCAGGAGGATTGTGCCGAGTCTGAAACCAATCTGAACTGCATAGTGAGGTCCTGTCGCAAAGAAAAGACATGATCACTTAACGCTGCTGCTGTGGGATCTGCTTGAGTTCCCAGCCAACCCAGGCCGTCCTGACAGTGGCAGTGGTGCCCTTCCGGTCCCTGCATGCCAGCAGGCACCCGCCAGGACCATTCTCATCAAAGCCTAGCCCTTGGTCCTCCCCACAAAGCAGTCCCCATGGCTGTGACACAGGCCAGCACAGGTCCCCATAGGTCCCTCTATGGGGCAGAGATGGTAGGCAGCAAGTGCTGGGTCTGGCTTTCCACCCTCTCCATGCACACCGTCTAGGCTGGCTGCAAACCCACGGTGATCCTCCTGCCCCCGCCACATGCTGCAGTTACAGGTGTGGGCACCCAGCTTGAGGGCTCGCATGCATTTTCAACTGAAGTTTGCTCCCTGAGGGACACTGGGTTTGGGATTCCACCCAAGGGTCTGCCAAGCAGACAGGCCCATGGGTGGGATTCAGTGGAGCTGGGTGGAGTCTGTCACACCTCACCTGCCCTTTTCTGTGTGGCCCACAGCCCGAGACCGAGGATGAGAAGAAGCGCTTTGAGGATGGCAAAGGGCGATACCTGCAGGTGAAGGCGAAGCGGCAGGCCCAGGTGGAGCCTCAGCCCTAGAAGCCCTCCTCTTGCCACTGGGGCCCGAGCACCTGCAGTGACAGCCCCGTGTCAGTCACTTAGTCACCCCTTGGCCAAACCCCACTGCCCACTGAGAGCTGGTGTTGTGTGAAGTGTCCATTGACAGTGTTAGCCCACGCCCTGTCCCGAACACCTGTGCACCAAAGCTTTATTTTATCCTTCCAGTACAAATGCTACACAGTATTGTCCCAGCCGCCGGAGGCGCCCTGGGGACACCTTGTGTAAGGTATGTCACGAATCCAGCACCGTTAATAAAGCTGCTGTTCAGCTGGGTCTGTGAAGGCTGTGTGTGGTTTGTCTGGGGATCTGCTCCCCCGTGGGGAATCGGGGTGCCCACAGGCAGCCTCAGCACCCTTCCCTGGTTCCGGTGTGGCTGGTGACCTGGTGGCTGCAGAGAATGCTGCTTCCTATGAAGCCCCAGAGGTCCCCGCTTGCTTCCTGCACCTCGGAGGCAGCTGACACCTGGGGTGTTGGGGAACTCGGGGCCATGCCACCTGTGGGTGTTCTGGGACCCTGCTTCCCTGCATTCCCCTAAATGGTGCTTGAGGACCAGGGAGGTGATGTGCAGAGAGCCCACGCTGCCTGGCCCAGGACGTGCTCGGCATGGGGAGCCACCCGTGGTGGACCAGGACCCCGTGGCTGACACAGACCCCCGACACTCACGCTTTTGGCATGCCAGTCTGAGGGACGCTGTAGGTGTCTGGGACACCGTGAGACTGTCACTGTGTGTACTGTGTGCATGTGTCACTGCCACAACACATCTGCATAGCAGTGCACGTGTGTATGGTGTGGGCTGTGTACAGATTCCCTGTGCATATATGTGTGTATGGTGTGAGGCCATGCATACATCCCTGTAGCTGTGTCTAGTGGTGCGTGTGTGAGGGTTTGTGTGTGCGTCCAGACCAGCAGCCTTGAGACAGAGAAGTGGCCAAGCCCTCTGCAGGGGCCGCATCCCAAGCACACCCAGAGTGTGCTCTGGGGCCAGCACCCCGGCTGGCCTTGAAGCCCGCTCATCTGCCCCTCGGCCTACGGGAGACCTGTCTGCCAACCGCTGCAGCCTCATTCGAGCGAGCCTCCCTTAGGCCCCTGGAAAAAGAGTGCTCGGCTCCAGATGTGCAGGAACCCCTGCCAAGAGCTTCAGAATCTGTCAGGGGCCCTGTCCCTGGTGATGGGGTTATTTTCTGCCTGGGAGCAGGGGCAGGAACAAGGTTGGTCACAGGAAACCACCGCACCCTGCCGTGGCCCTCAGCTCTAGGCCACAGGCAGTCTGGGCACCATCCCGTCGGGTGCCTGGGGGTGCAGGGCCCTAAGACATCTACATCCTTCCTAGGCCCCGGCCGGACTCCCTAGTTCAGTCCTGGTCAGTCACTCATCCGTGTGGCTCTTGGCGAGCCAGATATCCAAAGCCCAGGGCCCAGAGGCAAATTGTGCAGAGCACCATGCCCACAGCCCAACACACCGCAGGATAAGCCAGGCCTTGGCAGGCCTGAGCCCCTCCCCTCTGCCACACACCAGTGCCTAGGGAGGAGGGCCGGGCCACTAACAAGGCAGCACCCAGGAGCCTGCAGGTGGAGGGGGCGCAGCCACCAGCCTGAGGAGGCAGGCTGCCTTCTCCCATTAACAGGTGGCCCTTGTGGCTGAATCACCTGTGACATGGGATGAGACAGTTTGCCTTAAAAATGCCACATTGAGGGCCGGGGATTTAGCTCAGTGGTACTGCACCTCCCTTGCAAACGCAAGGTCCTGAGTTCAATCCCTAGTACCAAAAAAATAAGAAAAAAGCCACATTGAGGCTGGATTGCAGCTCTAATGATGGAGTATACTTACTTCACTGCAGGTCCTGGGTTCCATCCCCAGCACCAAAAGGAAGAAAAGCCACACTTGGGTACAACCTCCCTGCACCAGCCTCCCCCTGCTGGCCATCTATTCCTAACCAGGGCCACCTGGTAGGGAGCTGGCCTGTCCACGAGGGCTCACTGGGAACACGGCCCTGAGCATGCCAGGAGGGGAGGAGAGGGTAGGAGGGTAGGCCCTGCCCTTTGTGGAGCCTTCTCTATGAACCTTTCCTTCCACCTCATCGGATGGCCCTCAGGCCCACTCTGCGCCCCTAAAGCTGCTCTGGGTTCTGGGGGTTGGGGCCGGGCCGGGTGGGTACAGAAGCCAAGCTGTGAGAGTTGGGGACCCCTGCGGGGCTGGCAAGCACGAGGCAGCACTTTGGGCTGCCCTTGATTTGGGTCCCATCCTGGCCAGGCGCCTGCCTTCCTGCAGACAAGCCTGCCCGCCCGGAGGGATTCCCCGTGCCCAGAAAGGACACCGTGTGTCTCGAAACCCTGCGTGACCTTGGGGCCTTTTGCCCATTGCGTGTGGTTAGGGGCAGGACAGGGCCAGCTGAAGTTCTCCGGCTCTAGGTGACAGGAATGCCAACAGGAGGGGCCCCCGGAGAGGGGCCAGGCTGCAGAACCTGCCCCTACCAGCAGCAAGACACAAAGGGGGGGATCAGCTGCTGGGAGGGCGCGTCTGAGGCAGCGGGGGAGGGGCCACCCAGCACCCCGGGTCGCTGCGCTGTTCCCTCGGTGGCTCCGAGGCCCAGCCACCGAGCACCCAGTGCTCACTGTAGAAGTGGCTTCTTCCGGGACACCCTCCCTGAACCGACCCCCGAACTCGGAGCCTGGGTCTTCCCAGGTGGTTTGGGGCTTGAGAAGCTCGGACTGCGGGCACTGTCCACCCCGGGGGCTCCAGCCTAGCGGGGCCTGGGGGCGGGGCGTGGCAGCGCTGACGGACAGACGGACCAGACAGACCGGCTGCAGCCGCGCTCCTAGCGCCGGGGGGCGGGGCGCAGGGCGGCGCGG